TCTGGGGACATCCACATTTGCGGAGAGAGCAGTCCCTCCTTGTCTTGTGGAAAACGGTGTTTTAGTCTCCATCAACTGGGCCGTATCAGTTCACACACCTCCACTCACACACTCTCGGGTGACGGCCCACACGGTGCAGCCCTCCCAGAGAGGATCCAGGAACGCACCATCTTGGGGCCCGGGGTCGACTAATTCCTAGTCGGACTCCCCTTTGCCTTGCGCAAGTCCAGTCCAGTCATTCCCGTCCAACTAGTGAACGTAGGTACCTAGGGTAATGTGAGTTACGAAGTACCTAATTATGTACCTCAGTGGTATGTCTGGTATCCGTACTTACATCACTGATATCTCTCGCCTCTTATTCCTCACAATTTCTGCTCCCTCTCTCCCCTCTCTCTCTTTCCTTCCACTCCACGGCCATTTGTTCTCTTCTCGTCTTTCCCTTTCACAAACTCCCTTGTCTTACCAGACTTGGGTTGTCAGCTGACGTCTCTGGCCCAAAGACGTTGAATTTCTCTTTCCACTGACGCCCGTTCTGTTTTTGCATTGACTACATTTTTTGACGCTTCTTTCTACTGGCCCACCCCTTTTGGAAGTACCTATCGTGCCGGCTTCGAAGATATATTCCAAAAGACGGGAAAGAAGAACGAAAAACTAAAACACATAAATCCATACGACTTAGTGTCTGATCAACTGCCTCGACCAATCTCCTTGTAGGCGACTTACTCTCGACAACGCGCAAACGAGCCACCTTCTCTTTCGACTTCCGGTACATTTGCTGTGCAACTTGGGGGCATATTGGAAGTAGGACAACCTATCACGACGACGGGTCAACAAAACCTCACACACAAACTCTTTCTATATATTCTGGTCTAAGCCTTTCATATCTTCGAATCAAACCTTCGCCATGGCCGCTGGAGGCGCAACGAAGTCTCCCGAGGAGCAACAGGCAGCTATCGACGCCGCCAACGAGAACGTCTCCCTCTCCAATTACCTGTATTACATCTGCGCTGCCATTGCCGCAGCCGTCATTATTTGGAGAGTATGGACCGTCATCGTCAGATATGTTCGTACCGTTGCCTGTCTCAACAACGACAACCAGCGCTACTTTGCCCAGTCGGACTCCAAGGTCTCCTGGATGAAGAAGAACATCCTCTACGCCCCGGTCATGAGCAAGCGTCACAACCGCGAAATCCAGCTCAGCTCTGCCATCAATGTCGGCACCCTGCCCAGTCGACTCCAGCTTCTGTTCCTGACCGGTTACTTCGCCACGAACATTGCTTTCTGTGTCATTAACATCCCCTTTGCCGGCTCTTTTGCCGCCGCTGCCTCGCAGCTGAGGAACCGAACTGGTACCTTGGCTGTTGTGAACATGGTGAGTCGCAAACACCTTGTCCTAATGATCGAGTCTTGATAGCAAGGAAACTTGTACTGGTCAGGCCCGAGACGACACTCACTCAGTAAACACTAACCGGAGTGTAGATTCCCTTGTTCCTGATGGGTGGCCGAAACAACCCTTTGATTCCCATGCTTGGCATGTCATTCGACACCTTCAATTTGTTGCATCGTTGGTTCGGCCGCATCGTCATTTTGGAGGCTCTTGCGCATACACTGGCTTGGATGGCCAACACTGCCAACAAGAGCAGCTGGCAGGCGGCTATTACCTCAGCAACGACTGTTCCCTTCTTGCTCTTTGGTTTTGTTGTAAGTGGGAAATACGCCCCAAGTAGTAAAATGACATTGAAATAATGAGGCTAACCTTCATGAAAGGCCACTTGCGCTTTCGTGGCCATCGGAATCCAGGCTTCTAGCCCGATCAGACACGCCTTCTACGAGACGTTCAAATTTCTTCACATTTTGCTCGCCATCACGGCTGTCGTTGGTACCTGGTACCATTTACAGATGAAGGCCCTGCCCCAGCTAAAGTACATGTGGCCCGTAATCATCTTCTGGGGCGGTGACCGTGTCTGGCGTGCTTGGAGGGTGTTTTACGGCAATGTCGGGCACGGAGGTAGCAAGGCTCTCGTCGAAGCTCTTCCCGGCAACGCATGCCGTGTTACGGTGACGATGGCTCGACCCTGGACCTTCGGACCCGGCCAGCATGCCTACATGTACATGCCGTCCCTCAGCTTGCTGCAGTCTCATCCCTTTTCCGTCGCTTGGAGCGAGGAGGCTGAGGATCCTATGGCCGAGAAGGGCTCCCTTAACCGTCAAGATATTCTCGCCATGCGCAAGACCACCATGTCCTTCATCATTCGCGCCCGCACCGGAATGACCGACACACTGTATCGTAAGGCCGCTGCTTGTCCCGAGGGCAAGATGACTACGACATGCATGGTGGAGGGACCTTATGGCGGACTGCATAGTATGCGCTCTTATGGCACGGTGATGCTGTTTGCCGGCGGTGTTGGCATTACTCATCAAGTACCTCACGTACGCGATCTCGTTGCTGGCTATGCGAACGGAACTGTCGCCGCAAGAAAGGTTATTCTCATCTGGACCATCCAGAGCCCTGAGCATCTCGAGTGGATTCGACCTTGGATGACGGAGATCCTCGCCATGGAGAAACGCAGAGATGTTCTCCGGATCATGCTCTTCGTCAGTCGGCCCAGATCAACCAAGGAGATTCACAGCCCTTCGTCTACTGTTCAAATGTTCCCTGGCCGCCCCAACATCGAGACGCTCATCAAGGCCGAGCAGGAGTCACAGGTTGGAACCATGGGCATCAGTGTCTGCGGTCCTGGCGCTCTTAGCGATGAGGTGCGCCGCGCTGTTCGCGATCGCCAGCACGATTCAGCCATTGACTTCAACGAAGAGGCTTTCTCGTGGTAAGATGAAAAGGGCATGCTCGCGCAACTGCAGCAGAGACGCAATGGGGTTTCAAGACGTTTTGCGTCAGGCGAAGTCGACGTGCTGCGAAGCAATACAAATCCACAAAAGAGCAAAGGGTGACTTATTACCTTAGTATGAGGTTGCACCGTACCTGCCTTGCGCGAGGCACAACGGGTTAGTTCAATGTATATATAGGGGATCGATTTAGACCGTAGTTCTATGTATATGTGATATCACACATTTCATGTATCTAAAAGGCATAGTGGGGAATCCCGTGCGAGATATGTCACTGAAACCCAGCCCACCTTGACTTACCTTCAGGTAGGGGTATCCATATGTAGTGTGCTGTTTCCGTGGCTTGCTTAAGGTACCTACCTTGGTTGCCTTACCTAAGGTATGGTCGGAATGTCACCAGTGCACTCCCAGTGTCATGTCCCCTGTCGACCATCCCGGCTCCTTCACCGACCCCTCCTTCCGCCGTTGCCTTCTGTCAGCTAAGGTAGACCAGCTGCTGCCTTTCTAACCCTCCTCGTCCTCCGCATTCTTTGATGAATAAGATTCTTTAATCTGCATCTTGACGGCCCAAGACGGAAACAGCGAAATAGCTAACAGATCTCTGGGCTCAACTTAACACACAAAAGAAAAGTCACCCAGCCTGGCCCCAGTGCTTCCCTCAGAGGTCCAGCTCAGCTCGGTCCCCACTCCAAGGAATTCGAACGTTGCTGACGTCCGTCGCACATCGGACTGGTGATTTCAGAAGGGTCCACGGCGGGCGCGCTTCAGCGGGCTATCTTATCTCTCCCGTCTACCTCAGCTGCACCCTCACCTCACCTGAGCATTCGCCGCATCCATCCGGCCTGGGCACGTATCCCCTTCCCGTCTCCCGCACACCCGCCTGCCCTACACCCTTTTCCGGACTTCAAGACACCTAACACGTCAACCCGGAAAACCTACCTTCACGTTATCTCCATTCTGTCCTTCGGTAAAGCGCTACGAGGAGGTAGCTCTCCTTCTTTCCTGCGACTTTGCAAGAAGCATATCGACAACAGGACCAAATCCGAAGCTGCCTGCCGCTATCGAGTGGCAAGGCTTCACGACCAGACACAACCGTTCCGTCTCCCACCGTATCCTGCCTGCGCAGAAGGAGGCTTTGCACAATATGGGGCTGGCATACAATACGTACTTGAACAGTAACAAGGTCTACGGCTGCAAAACATGCAAGGCGCATCTGTCGAACCATGAGGACATCATAAGCCGGGTATGTTTGATCGCGATATTCTCTCCTCACTGCTGCATGTCGCATGATCCAGCAAGCTTTGGCCCGCGCAAGCAGACGTCGCCTCCACTTCTCCGGTGGCTCTTCGTGTACACGTACTGACGGTTGTGTCACCAATAGAATTTTCGAGGCCAGCATGGCAAAGCATACCTATTCAACAGCGTCGTCAACATCGAGACAGGCGAGCCCAGCGAACGAAACATGACGACCGGACGACACATCGTACGCGACATCACCTGCAAGCAGTGCAAGGAGACTGTTGGCTGGAAGTATGATAAAGCATACGAAGCTACGGAGAAGTACAAGGAGGGCAAGTTCATTCTCGAGGCTGAGCTTCTTTGCAACGTCACCTAGATCTTTCGCGTGGCAAGCAAAGCTTCCTCAGGGGAAAGGGATATTGTGTTGAGATATGGCGTTTGAGCTCAGTTCGTCGGGTTTCTTTTCGGGGGCAAAGGCACCATGCTGCCTTACATACGGGCGGCGTTTCTTGGTGTATAGGACGGTCTTCATTTGGGGTCGATCGCAGCGCCTGGCCAGGCAGTCGGGTTTCATCTGACTGCGTGAGAGCGGCATGTACTTGTCAGTCGGCTGTCAGCTGATCCCTCAATTCTGTCAGCATTCACACCTCCCGCTCAACCAAGAAGTCAGGAGATCTTTATTTAGGGTTGCTTTGAAATATGGCATTGGTGTTCCTCATTCAGTCTTAGTTGGAGCACAATAGAGACGATTCGTGTAGTGCAGCTGAACCATGTCTTTGAGTAACCAATTCTCGTACGCCTAGAATACAGCCGCTTCCATACCTCTATTTCGATTCAAGCTACAATCTGAAGCAGAGACTCTGGCCAAAGGATGAATACAATCACAGCCCAGCTTTAACATACCATGCCCCTGCTCTTCACTGGTGTTCGATGGGCTCCTCCGGAAGTAGTTCCTCCACCTCTTCGTCAGGGACAAGAAATCGGAAAGGGGGTTGCACAATTCCGTTGAAGAGGAAGGTAAAGTAGACAAGCAGGCCAAATCCAACGACTTGCAGCCACTTGAAGGTCTCCCAATGGAGCCCGAGGGAGACGATCCAGATGAAGAGAGTTCTGCACGTGTCAATCGTAGATCTCGAGGTAGCGCTGACGCTTCTGGTGACGGAGAGACCAAAGAAGTTGAAACCACTGCAACGGAGCACATTAGTAAATCGTCTACTTGTCAGGTAAAAGGGATTGACGTACCCGATACTAATCATGATCAAGATGCTGGAAATCCCGATGGCTCTGTTCTGCGTGAGTTGCCTCCAGCCCTCGGCCATGTCAAAGTATCCGTAGCGCCCAGCATCAGTTTTCCCGATAGCTAGGTGCAAGACAATCATGCCAATGACGGTGACAGTAAAGCCGAAAAGACCTTCGAACCCAACAACACGGATAGGTTCGATGGATGACCTTTCCAGAATCCATTCTTCCAAAACAAACTGTGTCGCAGTGAAGATCTGAGCGCCGGCAATGAGAAGAACACCCACAACAGTCAATAAGGCATTAGACTCGGGGGAGCCTTCTTCGACGTCAGCCTCATTCGTGCTCTCGTGGTAGATGGCACCAGCCAACCCAACAATTGCGACGCCCGTGACAACGCCGACGAGGGACAGCCATTGGAACAAAAAGAGTCTGCGCTTGAGGAAAATGACGCTGAACACTCCGACGAAGAGAACGAGGGCGCCGCGAGTCATTTGGTAGATGGAGGCCGCAACCAACAAAAGACCAATGTTCATCAGCGTTGTACCGAGGATATCGCAGATGGCTGGGAGCGCCAGTAGCAAAATACGAGGCCCGCGTAGGATAGCACCGCTTTCCTCTTCTTGAGGCTTCGGGCGCCCATCCACGTTGCCGACAAGAGGAGCATCTGCATTATCGGCATCATTCGTGTTAACGGCCTCGTAGCCGTTAGACGTGGGGTTTGCTCCAGGTCCGTAGCGACGATACAGGTTCATCAAACCAATAACCAGCCAACAACCCATCTCTCCCACAAACATCTGTGCGGTCTGGAGTACAGGTTGGTTAAAGTATGCCCGTTTCGTGAGGTCCTTCGCATCGCAGTTGCGGACGCATTGCATGTCCTATTGGGGGAAGCTGAGTTAGCGTCTGGGTTTCAGGAGCCAAGGAGTGACAACATACCTGATACTTTGTGAGAAGGGTATTGCAGACGCCTGTCAACAGCATCATGCCGACAAGAAAGGGGATAAGGGCCCGGGAAGCCATGTTGAGCGAGCTGTCGAACTTGACCGGCGAGACGACTATGGGCAGGTAGAGTTGTGAGAGACGAGATGGTGCAGAACCGAATATATCCTTTTCCAGTCACCCCTGTAATATCGATATCAGAGGAGACTACTGTTGGGAAATACGCAGCCGGGGGAGGCTAGAGGGAGGGGATATGTGCTTTGGACAAGCACAGCAGCAGTCGTCGTCGTCGTCGTCGGCGTCGTCGAGATGAAGGTTGATGTAACGGTTGTAATCGTCTGGACGTGGCGGAGGTGTTGAGCTGAGCGATGGAACGAGCCGCTTATCAGTGGATACCTAAGGTGGACGCCGGTGGTCGGGCTCGTACCTCGGGTACCTTCTGTGCTGTGCTTAGGTGTCGGAGTACCTCAGGAAAGCCAATGTCACTTCCGCAGCCCACCCGGCTCCCTGAAATGGATGCTCGCGGCCCCGTGCCTATGCACCTTCTGACTTCTAATCCGCTTCCAAGCTAGGTACCTGGCTTTTGGTCGTTTAGCGTTCCGGAGTTGGTCACGCGTCCATGTGAGCCTCTGACCGGTTAGCCGCAATGTCAACCATCAATGTGCCTTACCTTAGGTTGGGTCATGGTAAGCCAGAAGAGTAAAGCAACCGAAAGGGAACTTTTGTCACGTAATTTTCTGCCTCGTCAGTGAAAGAGGAGAAGGTAAACCCCAAAGTGATTTGAAAGTGGTCAGTAACACATTTGTCCCCTTGAGTCTGATGAAGATGGCAAAGCCGCTTTGACCATGCGTGGAGTTTGATATAGGCCTTGCAAGCGACATCGTTCAGAACCACATTTTCATCAGTTGTTTTCAGCATCCACCTGCCCGTTAGGATCCCCATACGATACACCATAATTGGGAGCCATCTTTCGCTCCAGACCATTGACCGAAATGATGTAGCACCGTAGAAAGCATCATTGTCACTTTCAGCAGATAAAATTGTCATTGCGTATTGTATTACTCTTCGTGTGTAGGTATCTCATCTGTGGCTCAAGCCCACGTAACCCCTCACTTCTTTTCCTTGGGCTTCTTGTCCTTGATGTTGTTGTAATGATGAACTCCCATTTCCTTATCCTTTGCCAGACGCTCCTCATCTTCTTTGCTGAGCGGCACGCCTTCAATGCTCTTTACTTTCTTACCCTCGAAGAACATCATCAAGCCTCCTATGGCAGCCGCCAAACAGGCGAGCGCAACGAAAAGACCAGTGGACCAACTGGGTCGATCAAATCTGTTCATTCCCCACATGAAGCCCGAGAGAACACACTGCAAGAATGTATTCCACACATTGAACCAGATGACAAAGTCCATTTTCCAAATTGCCGTTGGGGGTGCTCGAACTCCGGTGAGGGGTGCGTTTGGAATAGCTTTCTCGGGGTGCGGGATGTGCAACACAGGACGTTCGTTTGCCAGCTCCGTGACGTTTTCGGGGCCAATATGGACGGGCAATTGATCAGACCCAGGCAAACGGAACCATCCGCGGTGTATTCCCGCAAGCCGGCCAAGAGCTTCAGATTTCTTCAGAATGCGATATTGCATCAAGAAGTATAAATCACGGAATCTCCACGGTGCCAGTCCGAAACCTGTGACGCAGAACAGAGCATTCAGAATCTGGGAATCCCATTCGATCCACTTGCGCCGGGGGGAGTTGATATCATTGCATGTCGGGTAGCACATGGCCGGGGACGCATTACAAAGTAGCAGAAACAGCATACCGCCCCAAGCAACAACGTTCAAGCCGTAGAGAACGACAAAGAAGCCGAGAGGCGTGCAAGTGTAATTCCAGAACGCTTTTGCGCCAATTTTCATGGACTGCGACTTGGTGTGTGCGGGTGGGAAGTGATAGCCGTTGTCGTAAGGTTCGTACAATTCGTGCTCTGCAGTGGCCACTGTAGCGGAGGCGGCACTGGTTGGTATTCTTCCTTCAACATCTTGTTTCTTGTCTTCATGATGGTTGTTGTTGTTGCTGTCGGAGAACTTCGTCTCGGTTGTGGATTGATCAGAATGAGGGTGGTCCAGCGGCGCGTTCCTGTCCTTCTCGCTGCTGTCCAGCGAAGAATCTGGGCGAGACATTGCGGCAGATTCTAGAAGCTTTTGTTGCTGTTTGACGTAGAGGCCTTTGGGGCCTTCTTTCCCTCGAGACGTGTTACTGCTGCTGAGCCAGGACGAATAGCAAAGTGATTCGGTATAGCCCGCTACAGATTCGTGAAAGCGCGCCGTGCGATCCGTACAAACAAGCCCCGTGTGTCGACCGCGCGAGTGTTTCTGAACCGGATTCGTTCGAGTATGCGATGCTGGGTTGAAGACCAGCTGAAATGGTAGATGACGGTTCGATAAAACAACGTAGGAAAGAAAAAGTCTGCTGCGATAGGTCCTCCTCGAAGAGCTTTTGTCGAATAGCGATGTACCGCTAGTGTTTGTCGAAGAGATGAACAATGAAAGACTGACACAGCAACCCGCAAGACCGAGTAGTTGGCAGAAAACTGCTGCTAGGAAGCAGCGACAAAAACCGGCGGGGTTAATAAAGGGTATCTGTGAACATCCGGCCTGGTAAATGGGAAAGGCAGGTGGCGCGACGTGGGAGAGGAGTGATTCGGAGAATTCAATCAAAGAAATAAAACAAGGTACGGCGGATGTCAAAGACGTGTGATGTGGGGGCCGATGTCGAAGAAAAGCAGGAGAAAAGGAAAGAGAAGCAAGCCACAATGATGAGCCAGGGTCGGAGGATATAGCAAAGTGCCAGAGAGTTCTTGGGGGAAAGAAACGGGCTGGGTCTAGACCTCTGATGGTGGAAAGGGGCGGAACATGGGAAATGCGTAATAGAATTAGACGCTAATAAGCACCGACCTTGGGAAGGAAGATTGGACTTCCATTGATGGACGGATGGATTCCCCGTTTATGCCTGCCCTGCTGGATGGTACGCCTGTGCCTTCAAGGGGGGCGGCCAAAGTACTCCGTCCAGGCGTGACAGACTGCTTCATTGTCAGTTCTGTCAGAGGCTAGAGTAGAGCCCGTTTGCCGTGGGCTACAGCCAATAGACGCTGGTACGCATGGAAACGCTGGTGTCCATCTCAAATGATCTTGGGGCAGGAACCACTAAACAGCCGTCGCAAATCTGGACCCTTACGTCAATACGCGTACGATGGACCGGGAATACACTTTGTTAGGTACTTTGCACGACCACAGCCACTGCAGATTGTGTGACAATACGCGCAGTGAGGTCAGCGACACAACCACACAACATGCCTTTAGGTACGTACTCATGACGGGATCCGAGAGGGATGTGCACGTATTTGCCCCAAACCTTGGCTGCTGGTTGGCTCGCTTTGCTGTCGGTTACGTAGGTTGACCAGGATTATCAGAAGTGGACCGTGGATGCCGATGAGCTGTGCTTTGCTCGTCGGTTTTGTCTCGACTCTCGAGAGCATTTGAATTTGAGTTGCCGGCCTGCCGATGGATTCCTCCAAACATGTGAGCTCTGACATTCTTGTATATATGACGATTACCACGATAGCTCTCCACCTCTCATGTTCAAGTGGTTGGGAAAGAAATACAATATCTTGTTCTTGGGAATACCACCAGCCATTCCATTCTTAATTTAACTGAGACAAGCCAATTATGACGGGTACAAAACCGCTGCTGTGTGCCTGGCTAATAAAGACCAGCTTAGCCCAGGAGAGAAACAACACAGCAATTTACAAGCCTCAGAGCAGGGCTGAGAATGGGAAACGTAGGTGTGGCTTTGACAAGGCATGGATGTTATGCACACTTCGGATCGTTTCGCTCCCTACTTATGACGATGACCACATCCACCCGGCAGAGAAGTAACGCTTGACTACCTTAACAACAGTTGAGCACGGAGTAAATTCGCCAGGACGACTCTTCTCGTCTGCTCCGTCTGCATCCAAAGGCTAAACTGGGTGGTTGGTTTACATAGGTAGGTACCTAAGGTTCCCACCTTACGTTATGAAGATCCTGAGAGAACCTACCTGCTCAATTCGCTGGGCTCAAAGTACCCATATACAGCAGGCGACTCATGAGGAACCTTAAGCATCAGTACATGCATGAATGAATCGCTTAATGTATATGCATATATCGAGGACCCTGCAAATCGTTGGCCAAGGAACACATCTGATTGGCATACTGGCAGGCTTATTGGAGCCACTTCTCTTGAGAACCTTGAGAACTCTTCGACCACAACCGCAACAACTTCCTCGGTGACTTTGGTTTTCTCAAACACACATCACGCCCTAGCAACTCCATTACTTCAGCGCCTCATCAAAGTTTGACCAGCGGCAATGGCAGCCGCAGAACATCTTACCAACCTTACCGATCTGGTCCTTGACAACCTTCGAGATCAGCATGACTGGACTGATGTTGAAGTTCGAAGTGACGGGAAAAGCCGACCGCGTCCCATCATCACCGGTCTCCCGCCTAACAGGCTGTATATGCACCCAGACGAACAAATCGAGGCCTTGGAAATGGAACAGACCGCCGGCAAGCGCTCAAGCCAGGCCTCCGAGTATGAGTGGGTTCTCCCAGTACATCTGAGCGAACAATGGACTCTGAGTTCTTTTGCTACAATCTTTGACTCCATCGACACTCTGCCACGAAAACTTGATCCGGAAAGCACCATCGATGGACCCCAGAAGCGGGATTGGCGTGGCACAGATCGTCAGAAGAGACTACTCCTTGCCGTGGTCCATGACGATTCGACCGTGTCTTATTACCTCATTCACGACGGTATTGTCAAGCCAAGACAGAATTAAGGCATTGATCCTATATCTATTTCAACGTTCCATCACCGCAACCGCAAACTCCATACTGCCCTTTCATCATGTTGAGTAGGGAGGCGACACCTTTCTTGCTACGAGTTTTGTGCTCTCAATCAAGGAGTGAAGATAACCTTTTGGACCTTCATCTGATCGAACAGTGTATATCCCTCGACCGCCTCGCTCAATGGCATAATGCGGTCGAACATAA